CGATCAATCAATTTAACCACAGGCATGTATGAACACAAATAAGTCAGTTGTAGGCCACAACAATCATATCGGCCGAAGACGAATCAAAGCTATTGGTAGTTGGTATTTCAACAGATTTGCCGAACCAGTGACTACGGTAACACAAGAAAGGAAATGAAATGCTCCACTCCCTCCCCTCTCCCCGAAAATAAAGTTTGTCAGATATATAATATAACAAGGAAAACAATGCATTTAGCAGTTTAACCAACCCTATTTATTCGTGAGCATACCCTGGGTATCAGGCAATCCTGACCACGTCCTAATCAGTGCAAATCAGTGGGAAAATGAGAGAGAGGACAGATGTATTTTATCCAAGGATCATTTTGCTGCTCAGGTGTGTCTCTCAATGATCAGTCGTGCTTTCCAAGTTCCACTATCTGTTCCGATTGACAATATCTGTGATGCTTACTCATATCGATGCGTGCTTGAAGCTGGCTGACAAATATTCTATCCAATTGCACGCATCTTTTACACATTGACCTGTGTGCATGTGAATCCTATCTCGGATATTTGCTTACCGAAACTCTTTGGTACCGTACCTTGACCGGATACTGACCGACAACGAGTTTGTTCCGTCTGAGCTTTCAAATGTATTTAGTAGGTAATCTACATTTCTTGCACGCTTGATATCCCCTATTATCCCCAGTATTGAGACGGTAGTCTCTTTCTTGATTGGAAACTTCAATATAGTTCGCTAAAGCTTCAATAGAATACATTCACGAAGATAATGTAAAGTGCCAAGAACGGAAGGAGACTCAAATGAATTCATCTCCTAAACAACATTCTACAAAACACAGATAGGGATACCAAAATTAAACTGCAGGGGGGGGGGTGAGTTTTAACCCAATTCCGGACCAGAACCACGCAAGCGTGATTGCGTTGCTGTGCTGACTACAACACAGACAGTAATAAGGTATTTCGTGGGTGGAGGTGTGTGTGGGGGGGGGCGATCCTTTTTATCACACTGTGAGCCCTCGAGGATCACTGATCTTAGGCGGCAAGAATACGGTTTGCTTATGGATTGTAGTCACGAATTCGTTGAATTCTTCCTCCTCCAGTCTGATTTACTTGAAAAATCACAATCTTGCCCAGTATTTCGTGTCATAAAACAATATATGTACAATCATTGAAGTAATTCTATGTTCACATTTTAAACAAATGCTTGTGTTTCTTTTGGTTTACAAAACAATACAAACACATCCGCACAGACAAAAGTCTCCTGGACGGTCGGCCTCATTGGTATAAACTGCACAAATTGGAATCTGTGATCATTCCCAGCGCACGCAAAACACCACCTTCATCGAAACAAACAGGCAGTGGAACAGCGATGGATTCATCAAAAACCTCCAAAGTAAGTGAGTGAACAGATGGTTATTCATCCGAAGGTAAATCACAAAATCGATTTTACGTTCTTCTAGTAATTTGGTCGACATAAAAAGGTTTAAAATGGAGTACGATGCAATAGTACCTGGTAACTTGGTAAAATCAAACAGTCATAGCTCATAACATGTTATGGTTAAGCATGTGGAAAACACACCCTCTGATCCTCCTACTCATTTTCCACTTTTATTTGTGATATTCCCTGTGTTTCTTCGGCACGAATTCTGAAATATGCAGATTATATCGTGTTGTGCCAACCCATTTCTTCTTACTCTGATCTCAGCTCTTTCACCGACAATCTTGATCAATTCAGTCATCTCCTCCTCATTAAGGCTTACCCTAAATCCCAGTAAATGTGTTCCGTGTTTATATAGTTTGGCTCGCTCCCCATATCCGATAGATCCCACAGTTATTACTAACAATCCTTTATCCAGGGTGAACTCTGTTAAGTATCTTGGTGTAACCATAGGTAACAATCTTCACTGGTAAACTCACATCCACAGCTGCATTGGTAAACTGCGGCGCTTATCATTTCAAATACAAAAGCTCAGGCAGTTTCCTGCATCCCAGTCAGTTATTTCTACTTTTGTTTATCAGTTTGTTTCCCCATCTTACTTTACTGTTCCCCAGTCATTTTTCTTGGCTTACTCAAACAGGATTTTAAAGTCGTACGCCGCGGTCTAACCATTATTAGTCGTGTTTCTTCTATTCCTGTGAATGAGTTAGCCTTAAAGCTTTCAGAGTATCACTTAACTTCCTGTGTGAAATTGGCTAAGAGGATTCTCACAGGACTGACGCGTTGTCGTTCCCACTCTTCCACACGCTCCCAACTCCGCCAAATTTCATCTCAAAATAACGCTTACTGCAATTCACCCATACCGTATCTTGCTCGTGTACTCATAAATAAAGAGCGGACAATAAGTGAACTTTGTCTTAACCTTTGATTATCAAACGTCCCTTGTCTGTAAAAACGTTTACCCTGTTGACTATGCACATTGTGACGGTTAGCGTGTACGATTTTTTAACTGAAATGTGAGCCCCAGTGCTTGCAAAAGTTATACAGAATACTGGTACGTTGTCTGCAAATAGGGGTTCGTTTGTGAGAGGATAGGCGGAGGAGAGTAACATTTTTATAAATACAATAGTTCTAGAAATCTGCAAGTCAGAATTACTCATACCAATATTATCATTTGATTAATGAATGCGGCTATGAGGAAACGGAAAGTAACACTTTATAACCATCCTTGTCACCTGATATTTGACTTAACGTGAATGATTGATTTGAACTGGTGATCCTTCGGACTCCACCCGTATGCACAATTCTCAGTTCATCTATTTAACCATATACACTCGGAAGCATTTGAATCCAGTTTTGTTCTCATCATAGCTCATCATCAGCAGTGCATATGCACCGCCCCGTCCGGGATTTGAATTCCGGATCCATCGAGCGTGGAAGACGTGTGTGTTACCACTGTGCCAACCAGCTCATGACACGGATGGGGACGCTTTCGAGTGAACTTAACAGATAGTTAACTGTCTCCCTTCGTTTCTGGACTCCTGACTGACTATCTCTGAAGACAACATCTGAAAAACATGAATTGGCTACTCGATTCAGTCGTGGTATGAGCTGGTCGGTACAGTGATAACACGAAGACCCTCCATGCGATCTGTCCGGAGTTCCGAGCCCGAACGGGACAGTGAAAATATTGATGAACTCTAATGAGACTGAAACTCGCATCTAGTGCTTCAGAGTTTATGGATGACTATAGAGAAACCGAGGATTGTGCGGGGTGGTGAAGTCCGAAGGATAGTCAGTTCAAATCAATCAATATCAATTATCGCACACCACTACTCACAAGTAACCATGAGCTGAGTGCGAATAAGAATCAGTTTTTTTATTGAAAATTGTATTCAATGGAGATGGATAGGGAAAAAATAAAAGTTGACCTAGAACTGCGTTTCTGCCTCCCACCCAAAAAAACGATCACTTTAATATTGTCTACTGCAACAAACCATTTGCTCAGTGCACCTCTAAACCCAATCTTCCTTGGAGCCTAGTTCCTTGTGCGTTGGCAAAGTCAAGTGGAGAAAAGCTAGCATCTCTATTCATTCACAGACTCACATTAATGCAATAAAGATGCTAAAATGAAATTCAAGAGGATATAAAATGGGAACATTGACGTTTTATGGTTCAATGTGGGAAATGAAATTGAAATTTTGAGACTCACAAAATGGGTTGTGAAAAAATCTGCCAACCAAATAGGTTTTCTGTCTAAAATTTTATCAAAACTAATATAAACTTTATCGATTTGTAGCTCTTTCCCTGTCATTTAGAACGATATTAAATTGCTCCGTGGGGAAAAAGCATTATTCGACAAACAGTGCATTGAACAAATAAGATGAGTGAACTTGAAACAGAGAGACAATTACAGATATCAT